TTTCCATTTAAAAGCCAAATGAATCAGTTAATATTCAGCAATAACCACTAATATACTAATGAATAATCAGGGTTATTCAAAACCTGATATCAAGTATATCTTCAAATGCAAGAAAAATGAGACTGAAGTAAAGTGGAGAGGAGGAGTGTAATGAAAGATGGATAGAGGCACATTTCAAATAAATGAAATGGGGAGGACAGAAGAGTAATGAGAGGAGGAGAGAAAGAACATGAGAGGGGGCAATGGTTAGAAGAGAAGAGATATAGAACAATATTTCATTCTACCTCCTCAACTCAAATTTAAGACAACAATCTCTCCTGTGCTACATCTTACAAAGGGTTATGAGATATTCATTGATTCTGCCTGCTGCATTACATCTGTAGTTGGTGAGTTCTGTTTATTTGAACACTGTCTTGTTTCTGGCTGGCATTTCAATGTAAACACTTCACAATTGTATTCTTGAATGGGAAGGAACTGGGCTAATAATGCTCTTGAAATAGTGATTGCGTTAAACGTATCCATAAACCTCTTATCTGCATGTAATGTTTAGACTGCTTTCAGTTTGACTCAGAAATGTCCTTGTTTGCTCTGTGCTCAAAATATTTACCTGCGGACGGATGCTTTGCAGTTCTACGTGTGTTGCTGATCAGAAGCTGAGTGTTGTTTCGGTGTTCTTGTTGGGATATTTACAATATTTTCTTTTCCTGTCTCTAAACAGTATTAGTGACTTTGAATGAGCAACATAGAGATGATGGATTCTTCCTTCTGAGATTAATTGCAACTGCTTATCCAATGCTTGAAAATACTACATCTACGACCTGGAATTGCAGTTTCTGCAACCCAACTGTTGTTGGTGATACCCTGAAGATCTCTCTCATGGTGTTACTTATTGTAACCATCACAGTGGGCAACATAGTGAGCCTCCTTGTTTTCATGAGGACCAGACAGCTGAGAACATCTCAGGGATTCCTGAAGACCTCTCTAGCCCTCGCCGACTTGGCTGTTGGACTGTTTGTAATTCCTTATTCTGTATACAAGGAAGTTATCCGAATTGTTTATGGACTGGAAGAAGGTGATGGACATTCTTCTAGATTCAACTCACTGTTCCCTTGTTTCATCATGGGGCCACTCTATGCTGGGTGCACATTTGTCTCAATTTCTACTATATTCCTATTGTCAGTAGAGAGGAGCTTTGCAGTGCTGAGACCTCTTCATAAGAAAATGTTGATCACAAGGAGGAGGACAGGATGGTTCATTGTCTTCTCCTGGGTTCTCAGTTTCTTTTTAGCCATGACACCCATACTCTTTGGTCGAGGTATAACTCTAGAGTACAACTTTTGCAGCAAGATGTGTAATTATGTGTTCATCACTGATCATCCTCAGGACGCAAGCTGGAACATCATGCTAATCTTCCCAGTCTTTGACTTCTCAATCTTGGGTGGCACTTTTGCCATAAATTTCATCACGTTTGCAGCGATCCGACAATACTGCAAAGTGAGGAAACAACTGGAAATGGATGTGCAGAGCACCTGCAGCAAGGTTTCCTTCTCAGACATCACAGCAGCTAAGACCATAGGCATTCTCACGTTTGCCTTTTCTGCATCGTTCAGCCCCATCGCAGTGTTCGTGGTGGGTAACGTTCTAGGTTACCCCTGGTGTGAGTTCTCTTTTTACGCATTCTGGATACTCACGTCAAACAGCTGCTGGAATGTAGTCATCTACAGCGTAAGGGACTTAAGATTCAGGCAAGGTGTTCGAGAGTTATTTAGCAGACAAACAGTTAAATCTCCAACCCACCAGCAAAGACCTCCGTGTCCTGCCAAAGAGGATAGTTCTTCTCAATGTGTGGCTGTCCTCAAGGAGATCTTCCGCCCAGAAACAGCTTGACATCTGTCAAGGAAATATCATTATTTTTTGGGGAGATTGAGAATTTGTCAAATTGCTAATCCACATGTAGTAAATACCTCTAGGATAGAGTGTTTTTACTTTGCAAGTACCTGCAAGAAAGAATAGTCTTTTTGCACTGGTATCTGCAAGATAAGAGCTGGTCGCTGTTCAGGCTATTCAGAGGACAGAATTATGAATACATGTTGCAGAGCATCAGGATAAGCTTCTGATACAATAACATGTCTTACTCATAAAATGTAGGATGTGGGTACATGCATCTCTTCAGGTTTCTGCATAAACTCTTCATTTACTATGATCTGAATTGGGATATTTTCACTTCCAAAATGCCAGATGTTTATCTTAACAGAAGAGTCTAAATATTTACTGGGTCACCAGATGTTGGACAGAAGTTTGTAGGTACCAAGGCAAAAAAAAAAAAAAACAGTATCAAAATGAACAGGATTTCCCTCAGGAAGTATCAGATATTAGGCTTCATTTTTAACACTGCAGGCAATTTACGCTTCAGATAGCTGATACTACTGCAAACTTTGTCAGAGCAGCATTCTGTGAATGTTACTGTAAATTCTGGAAAGTAGGAAGAGATACTAGAAGCATATTTTTTTTTTTATTGTTGCATGCAATCTATGATTAAAATGTAATTTATTCTTCAAGACTGTGAAATGGAAATGTGATTTTATTCATGGAAAATAATCTATGAATTTTGCTGCCTCAGTTTCAAATGTCTTTCTCGTAAGAATTCTGTCTTTAATTATAGGAACACTCCAAGCATCATAAGAGCACCAGTGGTTATAGAGCCTGGGCTGTACCTTTAAACACTTAGATAATTCTATTGCTCAATATAATATTGCCACAACTCCTCCTGTTACTCTTCCAGTTGTATCATATAACTGTTCCCTAAACAGTTTCTTTAATGTTTCTTTTGCTCCTGATAACCTATCCTGTACCATATTTATCACAGAACCTTCCTTATAAGTCATACATTTTATCTATATAACAGACCTGGCAGCTTTCTCAGATCTTAAAATTGAGAGAGGGGGAGTGTTGGCGTGGGTTGACCCGCTAATGGCCATGCTTATAATACAAATAGCTGTGGGCACATTATACCAGCAGGCAGTCCTCCGGGTTACAACAACAGGCTGTGAGATAATTGGGAAAAATGGGGCATCATTGTATCACATGGAGAAATTGTGTGACATGGCAGGAATGATAGAACTCTCCTTATAACTCTTCTAGCGGCTTCATATAACCCTCCCTAAATTCCCCCTATTGCTTCTCATAACCCTTCCTATAACTCCTCCTATTGCTCCATATAACCCTCCCTATAACTCCTCCTATTGCTCCATATAACCCTCCCTATAACTCCTCCTATTGCTCCATATAACTCTCCCTATAACTCCTCCTACTGCTCCATATAACCCTCCCTATAACTCCTCCTATTGCTCCATATAACCCTCCCTATAACTCCTCCTATTGCTCCATATAACCCTACCTATAACTCCTCCTACTGCTCCATATAACCCTCCCTATAACTCCTCCTATTGCTCCATATAACCTTTCTTATAACTCCTCCTATTGCTCCCTATAACTCCTCCTATTGCTCCATATAACCCTCCCTATAACTCCTCCTATTGCTCCATATAACCCTACCTATAACTCCTCCTACTGCTCCATATAACCCTCCCTATAACTCCTCCTATTGCTCCATATAACCTTTCTTATAACTCCTCCTATTGCTCCCTATAACTCCTCCTATTGCTCCATATAACCCTCCCTATAACTCCTCCTATTGCTCCATATAACCCTCCCTATAACTCCTCCTATTGCACTATATAATCTTTCTTATAACTCCTCCTATTGCTCCATATAACCCTCCCTATAACTCCTCCTATTGCACTATATAACCTTTCTTATAACTCCTCCTATTGCTCCCTATAACTCCATATAACTCTCCCTATAACTCCTCCTATTACTCCATGTAACCCTCCTATAACTTCTTCTACTGCTCTATATAGCCCTCCCTATAACTCAAATTAACACTCCCTATAACTCCTCCTATTTCTCCATAAAACCCTCCCTATTAGTGATAGGTAGGTTTATATAAAGCAATAAGTTAAGTTATAGGGAGGGTTATATGGAGCAATAGGAGGAGTTATAATCTATAACTCCATATAACCCTCCCTATAACACCAAGTATTGCTCCATATAACCCATCCTATATTTCCTC